GGGGGGGGGGGGGGGGTGGGTTAAGGCCGAGATCATTTTGCCGAAGCTAACATTTGCTTATGTTGTATGTGCGTTCGTCTATTTGTATCATTTCAAATTGATGCCGTCTTCACCACTTTCATAGATTAAATGCAAAAGACATGTTCACAAATATGCACATGTTCATGACAGTAAAATGATTTATTCCTCATTAATTCACAGCCAACGACGGTTCATTATTTCCACCGCAGTTGCGGTCACAATGCATAATAATAGCAGGCAGAATTTTGTCCGCCGGCTGAATGATTCAAGATGTTCTGTGTGAGCAAAACTGTGACAAAATAAATAAGCCGTGTCCCAGGGTGGATTAAAGTAAAATAATTTTATTTATACTTTAGAAATGGTACAAAAAAAAACATACGTTACGATAGACATGAAGGGGCAGGTGCCAACATGTCGTGTAAAGTAAGAACTGAGGACAACAACAGATTTGATACGATAGCAAGCAACACGCTCAACGACACAGGAGGCAAATACATGGCTTCAAAGTTATGATGCTTGGATTGATGACGCGCATTTGGAGCCAACTGCGCGTCCCCTGGAGTGCGACCCTGATATGTTTTGATTGGTTGTGGTATTTTCTTCCAGATTAAATTTTGGAATTCAGCAGTCAAGACCTGTTTTAATTTCGACAAATAAAGTTGTGCCACTGAGCTCACAATTATTCCGTGAACCCGACCAATAAATGATCGTAAACAAGCGTTTTGGATTGTCCCTGCTGGAAGAAGTGTCTCCCGAAGTGGACCCGAACGGGATTTTCCGGATGATTTATTTGGCGGTGATGACCACCGGCATGTCGGTGGTTTCACGGCCCGTCTCGCGCTCATCTGAGTCACTCTCCATGCTGTCGCTCTCATCCGAATCGCTGTCAGCAGCTCCAGGCGTGGCCGTGGTCTCCTCACTGCTCTGCTCGGTTTCGGACTGCTCTTCCTCCTCCGCATCCGCCGAGCTTCCGCTATCGCTTGTGCCATCGGTCGCCTCCTCCGCTGGGAGAGCGTCCTGGTTCTCGGGAGTGCTGGTATCCTCTTCCAGCATGTCATTGTGCTCCTGATAGGTCTGAAGCAAGGAATGCAAGTAAGAGATTTACACTCACAGTTGCATATGAAACACGTGCAGAATGTGATGTGCAATTCAGGACGTTTATGAGATCGAATGATACATCGTACACATATAGAGGCGGCCATCGGCCGTACAAACGGTTTCGTGTTGCTTTGGGCTGTCAATGTTTCACTGAAAGGCAGGACTGTGTTTCTTGAAGGCTATTTTTGACAGATTTCCCGCGTGTAAAATTGGACCCCTTGTCATCCATGGACCCAGCTATGAGGTACCAAAACTCTGGCCTTTTTTTTTTAAATTGACTTCTATTTAGGGTTACCTGCATTTTATGTTGCTCTCCATAAATAAATAAACCATTCGGGTCAGTGTGGGTAAAAAGCCACATCGTGTTCGTTTGAGGGCATCCGTATGTTGACTTACAGACTTAAGACAAACATCAGGCTTTGAAGGAACAAATCATTTCAGGACACCTCCCGGCTGGCTACAGCCAGATGGAACGGGACTCATTTAAAGGGCAGAATCATCCGGCCGGCAATGTCAAGGCGCCAGTTGAAACTCTGTAATTAGGATTTTCGTAAATTATGCCCCTGAGTATTTCGGCTACTGTATTTTTTTGTTCCCTTCCTTTGAAAGTTTGCATTACCGGTTTTGCAATATTGGCTTACTTTGGTTTTGCAGAACACAGGCAACAACTACGGTGGTCTTGGAGCTTTAAAAAAGGGATTGGCAAGGTGTTTTAATTGTAGGCCTACGAACTTGTGGAAAGTCATTCAATCGTTGTCATTCACATGCACGTATTTATTTATATGTACATGTACAGCTCTGAAAATATAAACAAATAAAGGACCAAAATAATTTTGGCATCTCATCCATTTTCGATCACGATTATCCTGTTTGGAATCACGGAGGGCCGCAGCCTATCCGGGTGAAAGCCGACCTACATCCTGAACTCGATAACTGTGACAAATCTTTTTTTTTTTCCCCCGAAGTTCTATATGTGTCATCGCCATGTGTGCGAAAGAAGAAGTCCTAACAAAGACATTGGAATCACGGAGGGCCGCAGCCTATCCGGGTGAAAGGCGACCTACATCCTGAACTCGATAACTGTGTCAAATCTTTTTTTTTCCCCCGAAGTTCTATATGTGTCATCGTCATGTGTGCGAAAGAAGAAGTCCTAACAAAGACATCCATGTATCGATTTGTCACAGAGTTGCTGAAGAACTGATGCTGAGATACACCACCTCTGTATCTTTCCAATATGGAATTGATATTCCGTTGACTGATCACAGCGCACTAGTTTTGCCTGTGGGCAAAGGCCTCTAGTTTTACACCGCAAACACACAGTTTCAGCAAGCAGATTATTGAGGTCTTGTAAAAATAGCCACCATGTTACTGATATAACCAACCCAATGTGGAATAAATTACCCCCTCTTGCCACAAAGTTTTTTTTTATTTTTTTTTTAGTTGCTCTCGGTTTCATGGGGATAGATAATTTGCACTTGGATTTCTTTTCCGCATTTTTAGCAGTCGGACCTGAACGTCCATCAAAAATAGCATTCGGTGCTCCAACTGACCTCACTCTTGTAGACCTCCGGTGACTTCTCCACCTCATTGTCGATGGGCATGTCGTAGCCCGATTTTTTCCCCGCGTCAACGTATTCATAGGACTTGTAAGATGAAGGAGCCTTGTGGTAGGTCTTCTCCTCGGCGTAGACGTAGCTCTTGTACTCGCTGGGGTATCCTCCCATGCTGTCACCGCGGCCCGAATCCGTGTCTGTGACGATGGTGGGCAGCAGGGGTTCCTCCGTCACAATCACAGGCGTCGCCGTCTCGGGGGCGACAGTTGAAGACTCGCCAGACTCGGAGCTGTCTTCCTCATCTTCCTCTTCGCTTTCCTGGAGGGGCAAATCACACCATGTGCTGAGATTCAAACCGGCAGAAGAGTGAACCACATGCTGGGGATCCGGCTCACCCTCAACCCTAATGTGGACCGTGTCTGCAGATAGTGTTTGTTTCGACTACTCACGCTCTCCTCTGATTCATCTTCATCATCATCGTCATCATCCTCATCGTCCTCATCATCACCGTCTTTACTTGGCTCATCTTGGTTGTCGACGGAGGGCGTGTCTGTTGCGGCCTCGTCTGGAGTTTCAAAGTTGACTAAAGCCGGAATCTCGACTGCCGCCTGCTCCAAAAATGCAGAAATCCAAAGACAGACTGATCAATTATACAAGGTGAACAGGCTCGGCGCATTGTATACTAGAATTGAAACGTATTCTGACCTCATCAGAACCAGCCGTAATCTCATCCGAACCAAGAGCAATGGGTGCTAAAAATTTCTGGAATAGCTGCGAGAACATCGGCGACAGGTGAGTTGCAGTGTGCGTGGTGTCAACCGTTTTCTCGACACCAACACATTCGGAATGTAAAATGTCAGCGCTTTGTTCTTTCGAATTGCGGGAATGCCGTACCCTGAAGGGTGACACGCGGAAGCGAGTCAAGTCGGCCATCTTTTTCCTGAAGAGTGAAGCCGCGGGTCGTCTGACCTGTGGACAAGCACGAGAGTCAACGTGGATGCCTCACCCTCTGTCTGCCTTTCCGACATTATACCCACCATTTCTTCAGAGCTCTCTGCCGAACTGTCGGAATATTTTCTTGCCTGAAAAGCAGACGATCCCAATCAATAACATCAATAAATGAATAAAACTACAGTTCAAGAAATTGTGCGGGTTATCCACTGATATTATGCAAACACGAGCGGCGTCGAAAGGACACTTGAATGAGATTGGATGCTTTATAGTCGCTTTGAGATGATGCAATTGCACCGTGACCAAGTCATTGTCATATTTCATACAAATAAACTCAACTTAGTTGCAATGGATGGAAAACAAAACACATGAAGTTGAAGATAACCAAGAGGAAATAACTCACTGGTCGGCAGAGAACTGCAGCAAAGAGCAGAACAAAAACAAATGCCACTTTCATGGTTTGTGTTCGGTGTCTATAAGAACCAAAGAAAAGTAGAAGAAGAAAAGATGATGAAATGAAACAACCAAATACGTTTTGAAAGCAATGAAAAAATGAATTGTAATACATATGGACCAACATCAAGCGTAATACATGTATGTATGTTACGTCAACCCGTTTTGGTTTTTGCCTTGGAGTTCACGAGGTTCATTATTTTCCGCTCACAGCAACGAGAGACGACAAGAAAGTTTGGACTCTGGTTGTGTAATTTATGATTTGTGTCGCAGTGTTCAGGACACATCGAGTTAAATCGCAAGTTAAAATTAAAGTGCCTCCGCCACAAGACCCAAGAAATATGGGAACAACTCAAAAAGCCAAGCGGTCCACTCACTCACCCACACACACACAAACACACGAGCAGACATACAGAGCAAAAACTAACATCTCATTTTCAAACCATGCCTAGTAATTTATTGCCGCTCGGCCTCAACTCTTCAGTCTTTTTTTTTTTTTTTTGGTGGGCTTCCCAACAAGTCGCAGAGATTTTCGACCACTGGGCCTCACAAAGCAAGACACTGCTGTTGGTCAAACTCGCTTTACCAAGAGATGTTGGATGGGGAAGCTACGAGGGAAAAAAAATCAGGTGTCTCCCAGCCTCCCGTGTGAATGAAAATGAACTGTTTTCACAAATTGGGATTCATTTGATGGTCTACTCAAGAAGACAATTCTACGTTGCTCAAATTAAATGCTCTTATTTAAGTTACGACAGGAGAACTTTCCACAACTATTTGCTGAGGTTGCTCTTCAGCAGTAACATGCAACTCACTTGCACCCAAACCCCCCTACTACGTTCCAGATGTTATGCAGTACATGTTCTTGCGGCTATTAAAAGCAGCACATAGCAAACAAGCATTAGCGTCATCAAACCACAATCCCTACCAAACACTCCGTATTGTCATTCACATTGCATGAACTCGTACTCACCTTAGCGAGAAGAAGACTGATGAGGTTTGATGGCAGTACGTTCCCGGGATGCTGCGCGCCGGATGCCCTGTGATGCTACTGCAGTCTCCTCTGGCCTTTAAATCGCTACGCTTCTGCCAGTAGCCAATCGGAGCCGAGACTGTGATGTCATGAGGTTAACCGCTCCATGGTCCACCTCTTGTCTGTCTCCCCCACTCTTCCTTTGGTTTGCGGTGCGGGGGCTAACGTGCATACACACATACGGAGAATTAAATTAATCTAAGAAAATACACTGGCATGATGTAGATCCAAAAAAAAAAAAAAAAAAACACCAACAAGTGCTGTGACAATGATTCAACTTCCTTACAGACAGAAATATGTCTGACTGAGGTCTTGCCAGATAATGGACAATTTACTGATTCATCGTAAACTGTCAGATGACGAGAATAACCACATTGTCATGCCCTTCGGTCGCCTTTCTTGAAAATAGAGATAGGAGACGGCCCGGTGGTCGAGTGCTCAGTGCATCGTCCTCACAGTGCAGAGGTCATGGGTTCGATCCCGGCTCTGGACTTCCTGTGTGGAGTTTGTATGTTCTTCCCACGCCTGTGTGGGTTTTCTCCGGGTACTCCGGTTTCCTCCCACATTCCAAAAACATGCACGGCAGGCTTAAGGAACACTCTAAATTGTCCCGAGGTGTGAACGTGAGCGCGGATGGTTGTTCGTCTCTGTGTGCCCTGTAATTGGCTGGCGACCGGTTCAGGGTGTCCCCCGCCTACCGCCCGAAGACAGCAGGGGCGACATGGGAATGTAGACGTTGGACAAAGTGACACAGGCATACCCAAGATGAGGACATTGATGACAGAAATATCAGCTCACTGCACTTCAGTCCCATAACGTACGTCGGCTTGTCATCATTACCGCCTCTCAAAATGTTCCATGATGATTGGATGGGCGGGTGATGTTATTCCTACGTCTGGTCTGGCTATATCGTCTCACTTCTTGTTTCCATGAAGGCACGTTGGTCTGGTCGTCAGTTTATTTTCGACACAATGACATTTCGTGGACTGAAGGACGACAGTTAGCAGTTAGACCTCGTTCTACGCAGTAGTTGTCGTTCATTCGCCCTTTTTGTTGAGAGCTCGGCTGTTTTCTCTTTAAGTTCTGCTGGAATTTGCATTTGTACCATGCTTTTAAATCTTTTTTTTTTTTGTCATGCTGCACTAATATTCCCATTTGGGTAATGCCATTGGTCGGTGGACGGTGAAGCATGAGTGCGGTTGAGGGTGGAGGGATAAAGGGAGTGAATCGTTCATTAAACAGCCTGACTGTTTGTGTTGTGATTAATCAGCGGACTGTCTGCTTTCCTGACTGTTGCCGTTTCCAGGGAGGAACAAAGCAATATGTTTCATGATCACATGTTCTTCATTTGAGGGTGGAGGGATAAAGGGAGTGAATCGTTCATTAAACAGCCTGACTGTTTGTGTTGTGATTAATCAGCGGACTGTCTGCTTTCCTGACTGTTGCCGTTTTCAGGGAGGAACAAAGCAATACGCATGTTTCATGATCACATGTTCTTCACCGTTTTCCTCTAATGGTGTGATGTCGCCGTTAAAATGATTGCGTCGACATGACCTTCAACACCAACATTCAAAATCAATTGTCTTTTACATATGTTTCGACCTTATCCACAACTATACACGTTACACAAAAGGTTTTAGCGGATATTTTTTATCAGAACTGATGACCTGTGTTCTCCCGCATTTAATGACTATGACTAGACTTTATAACCAAGGACTGATGATCGGTCCCTGTCCTCTCCGCTCTCCCTCCACTAACCCGTTCTTAGCATTGTCCCTGTTTGATACTTGCAATAGGAGACATCTCTTAGGAAGTTGTACAGACGGGAGGCACAGTTATTTTGAAGACTTTGGGGCGGAGGAAGATGCTTGCGTGAAACACCCTCCACATGTTGGCTAGCATGTCAAAGGCATTCTTCGCAACCATGTGTCCCCTTCATACCAGGACGTTTGCGACACAGTGACATTTGTGAGTTGATTTAGTCAACGCGAGTCAATTTTGTGTAATCCGATCTACATATGTTCATTCACCTGAAAAAAAGACAAAAAATGCATACAAATGCACATTTTTCCGAGCCTCAGTTAGAGCGAATCACAGATCTCAAATTCCTCTGCGCTCAATGACTCTGGAATTATACCTCATGGGCAGCCATCAAAATGTCTGTGCGTAGTATTGTGTTTGGTTTGGCAAGTGCTTCAGAGAAGTCTCGCATTTGTCCTCAAGGTTGTCATTACTCTTAGGAACTCACTGGAGCGGCCTCACAACAGGCACAGTTGCTTGATCGTATAACCGTGTTCTCTTCTTGTCCTCAAGGTTGTCATTACTCTTAGGAACTCACAACAGGCACAGTCGCTTGATCGTATAACCGTGTTCTCTTGGGCCGGTTCAGGGTGAACTATCCAATGGAAAAAAAAAAATGGCATGATTGCGTTTGGTTGGCAATGTAGTTTGTCTCACCAGGGTGTGTTCTTCATAGCTGTGGCTGCGAGTGCATGTTGCCAGCAGGATTTTTGGGTGGAAAATATGGATTTGTTTTTGCACAGTTTAGGAATTACAGAGAACTAAGACCTTGCAAACTCATGTGAGTAAAGTTATTGTAGTGACTAAGGTTGACGAAAACACACCACGCCAATATTTTTTCAGTGGGTCTTGGGAGTGCAATGAAAACAAACAGCGAGTCAATGCCAATGTCATTTGATTGTGCAAGTGATTCGTATTGCAGGGAAGAAATGCCAGATTAAAATGTGAAATAATAATCAAGAAATAATGTGCTGTTTGTACTGTACATTGTACATTTAAAAAACAACGCCCAAATTGAATTCCGCCTGGTGCCATGTGTCATCCAAACTATTTTTATTTGAGGGTGTGGCTGCAGAGGGGCTGCACGGGTTATTTGTGTCTGGAAGAATGGCCGCTGTGGTCGTGTTGTGGTCTGACACTAACCAGACTTTTACACGCTTGAGAAAAGTTGGGGCGAAGAAAGAAGCGACGAGGACGGGAAAGAGAAGAAAAGCGAAATCACTTCCCCAAACAACATTCAAATGATCGCCATCAATCCGTCAAGTTTCTTTACAGCTTGTCCTCATGAGGGTCACGGGTGAGTGGGAGCCTATCCCAACGTTTCCCTACACTGGTCGCCAGGCCACCATGACCAAAATGGTCTGATAAGCGTTTTTTTTTTGTTTGTTTAGTCAAACCCTCTATGGAGTAGGCTACATACTTAAATCCGATCTGCGTCATCTATACTGAAGTAGGTCCCTTTAGCATGCCCTCAACAGTTGGTCAGAAATCTGTCTCAAGTTTGCTTGTTTTCACAAATGAAGGCCTCACTCACACAATCCTGATCCCAGTCGACCCGTATGCTTTGTGGAGCTGTTCTGGGAAATAACCAGAAACCACCATGACACTTTGGGACTTACCCCAAATGGTCAGCGTGCTGTCCCATGGTTTGAGATGCTTATACCGTTTCATGAACAGATCATCAAAAAAAACAAAAAACAAAGTCGAGTCACTTACCACAATCCAACCAAGTGGAATCAGTCAAATCAGCAGCTATCACACATGATGAGAGCAAAAACAATATTTCATTCTTGAATTCTTGAAGATCCAACTTCCATTTGTCAGTAAGTGTAGATCCATGTGTATTGATGTTTTTCACAAATGTTGTTGCTGTGAGCATTCTTTGTTTTTATTGCAGTCCTAAATTAAAGATTGTTTCATCGTAATTTTACGTTGCCCCCTCATAGACGTCCCACTGTGCATTTCTATCAAATTGTGTCCAGACGAGGAGATGTTATGCAAGCTTATCCAGCATACTGTTTTAAACATGGTCTTCCTTTACATACGAGACCATGTGATTACATGCCTACGCACGTATGTTCCAGCTCTAATTGGCAAACATTTGAGCAAAAGTAGCGAGTTGAGAACTAACACTCATGTGGCTCTCATTGGATCGGCCAAATGTAATTACAGATCAGCACAAAGTCAAGGCTGACACTCCCCGAGAAGAGGCCCTGCTGCGGGGGCCAAGGAAATGACCTTATATGGCCACTTCCTTTGGGTAACTCCGGGGCCTGAAGAGCACCTTTGTGACCCCCAACAACCTTTCTAAACATGCTGAAAGAAAAAAAAAAAACAACAACAACAATTGAAAATAGAACAAAGCATGACAAAGATGTAAAAAGTACTGGCAGGTTATGTGGCTTTGTACTGTCTAAGGTACGTCTTCAACCCGCTTCCTCTCAGGACTGATTTAACAACATTAAGTGGCCTGGCACTTCTCAAAAATGTGTATGATGACTAACTTTTATTTCGACCGCTGATCTACTCCCAAAACTGCTGATTTTGTCAATTGGTCACGATCCCACACTCATCTTTTGCTTTAAAAATGCCACTTTGGAAACGGTGTACTTTTTCTCTTTTCTTTTTACACTGTTCATGTTCAATTTGTAACATTAAAACATTATAATGTCAGCAAAAGATTTCCTAAATGACCCACACAATCAGGCCCCTGTTTGAGTGCAATGTTTGTATTAACTCCCTGAGCCTTTCCCAGCTTCACCTGTGGTTTAGCCAATAATTGCTTGCCCTTACAAGTTTCATAACACTGTAATGTTACATAACTGACGACAGCCGGCGTGTCTTTTCTTTGAGACACACACACAGACACACACACA